GAAGAGTACTTTACAGAAACTATTTGAAAAAAATTTTTTTGTTATATTATAATAATATTATAATATAATATTATAATAATAAAATATTATAATAATATTATAATATAATATTATAATAATAAAATATTATAATAATATTATAATAATAAAATATTATAATAATATTATAATATAATATTATAATAATAAAATCTTTTATTTTTTCAAATAATTCCTATAAAGTACTCTTCAAACCATTCCATATTTTATTCAAAATATTTTTTTCCATCTCTTATAGTTTTCATTATATTCTCTTTGAAAGAAAAAAACCGATTTTCTTCAAAAGAGTATTTCATCCCCTAAACTTGCGAAAGGACACATATAATAAAAAACTGTTATTTTAATGTATCTGTTATTTTAATCTAAAATTCAACATATTACAAGTTTATGAAAATCGGAGGCGGACACTTGTGTGGGTTTCCTTATAAGTCATTTTTTTGCGTGTGGCTGCACAGAATTACAAGCGCTTTTATATACTGAAAGTGCGTGAATTGGAGCATTGCTCAATATACGACGAACATATATAATAAAAAATTTTAAAACTGACATCTCGAGCTATCAGTTGGTGCAAATATTAACTTGATACAAAAGTTCTTGTAGCTTGTACATACCGCATACGTAAACGTTTCTTCGGTTAACGAAACTTTCAAGAAATATTTCTGTGCCTTTACAACTGAAGTTAGAGGGTAAAAAATACATAAAAAGTTTGCAGCAAGATTTTTATATATATACGTAGTTATGTTTCCTGCTAGCAAACAAAGCGGCACACATTTATAGAAGATCTGTGTGTACAAGAGATACGCGGAGGACAGTATGATCGTGTTAGTGGCGTCTCTACGTTATCGACATTTTTGGAGTTCGTGATCTACTTCGGCATTCCTTTAAGAGAGTAAAGGGATACCAAAAGTGGATGACCAACTCCAAAACTATCGATAATGTAGAAGCGATTGTCAAAACGTCATGTCGGATAAGTACTAACACGATCATGCTTTTCGTACTTCTTATATATAAATCTTATGTAAGTATGCTGCTCAGTTTTATCATATTTAACAGAAAACGTAGCTACGTATATGAAAAAATTTTTTGTAAATTTCTCGTATATATATTTTTAAACTTTTCAGTTCAATTGTAAATGTGTATAAGCTACAGAACTTTTGTATCAAGCAAATATTAGGACCTTAACTTAGTTTCCGCCCGCAAATGTTAGATGGCAATGCAAACAGTTCTAGTAGTCATTACTAACGAAACAGGTAGTTTGTGATTAATTTCGACATTTCTCGATAACATTCAGTCAGCATACACAATTATTTTCCTAAACAACAATTTCTTTTGCTTTGTGAAAAATGGAACGCGATAAAGTGTTTTTTCGACATGTGCTTTTGCACTATTTTGATTTGAAAAAA